TCCATCATTTTTGTGAAGGGGATTTCATTGCCAAAAGTCTAAAAGTCTTAAATTTGCTGCCCGAGTTAGAATCCTGTCGGGACCTCTTAAAGGTCTCGCCGTGGTCACTGCGCTGTGCCCTTCTGACAGGCGAATGGAGTGAAGACGTTGTGGAGGGAGAAACTGGGAGGGTGGTGTTGAGCATGGAAACATCGGCTGCATCCGAACTTCTTGAGGGAATTGGGGCTGGAAGGGCTCCGTGGCTGCAGCCCGTGGAGGGAGGGATCCCCCTGCCTGGGTTGCAGCTGGTATTAAGCTGGTGCAAGTCGTTAAACGCTTCATTAGGGAGGGCTGAACTTACTCTAAATAGTAGCTATCCCAAAATGAGCCTGGAAGTCAAGATTTATTTTACTTTGTAATATATATTGTTGTTAAAAGACTTCAGAACCTGCATTCTGAAAACCTGCGTCCTCCCCATCTGCCATGCAGCACCCAGAGGTGCTGACCTGCTGAAATGCGGGGTTAGGATAAGGTGCGAAATTGCTCTGCATCATGCTCTGTGAGGAAATGTGTTTAAAGAGTGACAAATATCCAAGTTCCCTCAGCTAATTTGGCTTTATGAGGGTGGAAGTGCCATTACAGTCCCGGTTTGATCAGCTTTCCGTCAGCACATATAAATGAGTCAGGTTATATATAAGATGTAGAATGGGCACTGGTGAGGCCACACCTTGAACCCTGGGGTCAGTTTTGGACCTCTCACTGCAAGAAAGATACTGAGGGGTTGGAGTGTGTCCAGGGAAGGGAACGGAGCTGGGGAAGCACAATTCCTGGGAGGAGCGGCTGGGGGTGTTCAGCCTGGGGAAGGGGAGGCTGAGGGGAGACCTGATGGCTCCCTACAGCTCCCTGAAAGGAGGGTGCAGAGAGGGAGGGGTCGGTCTCTTCTCCCAAGTGACAAGTGATGGGAGAAGAACCAGCCTCACATTGTGCCAGGGGAGGTTTAGGTTGGATATTGGAGAAAATGTCTTCCCAGAAAGGGCTGTCAGGCATTGGAAGGGGCTGCCCAGGGGGGGGGGGGAGTCACCATCCCTGGAGGTGCTCAGGGTCATGGGTTAGTGGTGGTGTTAGCAGTGCTGGGTTAATGGTGGGACTCGATCTTAAAGGACTTTTCCCACCAGACCAATTCCGTGATTCTGTGTTTGTGTAACACGTGCAGCACGTGGCAAGGTGAGTCTTTGGCTCAACCTACGTTTGGTTCTTTGTGAGTGGGAATGTGCTGCCGTGTCTGAAAACGAGCGCGCTCACACCGCACCATCTCTTCCTTACACGGCTGCCACGTGGCTGGCTGCTCTGCTTGCTTGGAACTGGTTTTCGTTTGGTTTTTAACAGGTAGCTTTGCTGTCTGGGGAGGTCTCTTCTCCATGATTGACTGCAGTATGGTCAGAATGAGAGGGAAGGAAGATCCGTGGAATTCAATCACAAGTGGAGCCCTGACTGGAGCCATATTAGCTGCAAGAAGTAAGAAACGGGACACTGGGGAGGGTATAAATTGAAAAACGTTGGTGTTCTGAAGGTACAGTACGCACTGTTACAGTCTGATACCCAAATGGGAATTTACTTCTCAGAGAAACTCAAAGATCACCTGAAACTTTTGTCTTGTGCCTGGGAAAGTCATAATTATGTTTTCAACCATGGCCGGTGTTTCCACGAGGAGGGGGAAGTTGCCCATAATTATCCTTTTATTGGTGATGCTAATGAGGCTTAATGGATGCAAAATTACTGCTTCTGAGTCTCCTTATAGGAAAGATTGTGACTAAAGAAAGAGCTGTAATACATGAAGTAATGCACCAAGGGAAGAAAAACAGGAGTGGGTTTGTGCTTTTCCTTTTCAGATGGACCGGTTGCCATGGTTGGGTCTGCTGCCATGGGAGGAATTCTCCTCGCTTTAATTGAAGGAGCTGGTATTCTCTTAACGCGCTTCGCCTCCACGCAGTTTGCGAATGGTAAGGAGCTGTTGGACCGTGATATGGCAAGTGCCGTCTTCACCACCGTACCTCATGGCTGGCTCTCGTGGGCTGGGAGAGTTGGGGGGTTCAGCCTGGAGCAGGGAAGGCTCCAGGGAGACCTTAGAGCCCCTTCCAGTGCCTGGGGGGCTACAGGAAAGCTGGGGGGGACTTTTTCAAAGGGCAGGGAGTGACAGGACAAGGGGTAACGGGTTTAACTGGGAAGAGGGACATTGGAATGGGACATTAGGAAGGAATTCTTCCCGGAGAGGGTGGTGAGGCACTGGGACAGGTTGCCCAGAGAAGCTGTGGATGCCCCATCCCTGGGAGTGTCCAAGGCCAGGCTGGATGAGGCTTGGAGCAACCTGCTCTAGTGGAAGGTGTCCCTGCCCATGGCAGGGGGGTTGGAACTGGATGATCTTTAAGGTCCCTTCCAACCCAGACCATTCCGGGATTTGATGATTCCAGCCATCAGCCCCATCACAGAGGATCCGCTCGGCCGGTTGGCAGCCTCTAAGGCTGCGGCAAGTCCAGGAGGAGCTGCACATTGCTGGTGAGACAAGAGTCTCATCAGCTCCTTCCCTCTGGGTGACGTGAGACATCCTGGCTGAAAGCAGGGACATCCCTGCTCCCCGTGTCCCCCCTGTGCCTGGACATCAGCCCTGTCAGATGGTGCCCGCGGTGTGTCCGTCAGTGTTTGGTGACCCAACAGGATTTGAGGGAATAGGAAGCAGCAGCCTGTGGACAGGAGGGGTGGCGGCGGGCAGGGGGCAGACTGGGCAGCCTGGTTTGAACACGCTGGGGAACATCAGGTGGGTACAGGCAACAGATTTCAGAGGGGGGTGGTAGCAGTGATTTTTTTTTTTTCTAAATTGCTTCAAAAACAAGATCCTTTTAGTGTTTTCAGCGTCAGGCGCAAGCTGAGGCGTCAGTAACTGTCAGTGTAAAGACTTGCCTGTGCCGCTTAACACCTCTCGCCCCACCTTGTTTTGGGGGGAATACAGCAAATCCACTAGTGTCGAAGGGATTCGTAGCAAGCTGCTAATTCCGGAGAGGCTCCCTCTCTTGGGTTGGTTCACTGGCGTTCTTTGTTAGTCGAAATTATGAAGATTTTGGTTACTAAGCCAGAGAAAGATTACAGTTACCCTGCGTTAGGGACTCACGGCTCCGTTGCGAGTCCCTCTAAGCTGGGCACGCAGCGAGCGTGTGGCTTGCCCCCGGCAGCACGGGAAGGTGGCTCCGCAGTGACTTGTTCCATGCCGCTGGCCGGCTTCCTTTCCGGGCGTTCCCGTGGTGAACCGTTACGGGGTGGTGACGTTCAGCTGAGGGGCAGGCTGGCAGAGGTTTCCAGCTCTGTGAGGTGACTGGAAATGTTTCCCTCTGGCTGCTCTGACTCCTTTCCCTGTGGGAGGAGATCAAAATCCATTCCTGATGGGGCTGAGGCGCCTGTTGGGTGCATAATGCTCTTGAACTTCTTTAAATGAAAAAAAATGAAGCGTAAAGCCTTGTTGGTGTTATTTTCAAGGGGATTTATACCCAAACTGCTGTGACGGTGTTTGATGCTTTTAGTGGGAAGAATCTTGTGTCTTCCGATACTTACCCCCTTCCTTTCTCCTGCCGTATTGGCAGCCCCGCAGATGTCAGACGACCCCTCCCAGCTGCAGCCCTCCCCCTTCAGCGACTACAGACAATACCAGTGATTATCCTCGTCCTCCGAGCTCATGTGGTACCCAGGCTGTAATTAGGATGCTGGAGCACCGGGATGCGGTATGTCTTTGCACCACTGGTAGCCTCTTACACAAACTGTGCCGGGAGGACCTTCTGCACTGTTGGGTGTAAAGCTGCACGGGAGAACTCTGAGAAGACAACCAATCTATTTATTCACCATAGATTCCGTTGGTGTAACGTTAATAGGTGTCTGGTAGAATACATGGAGGTTTAAGGCAAGGACCAAACGGAGTCTTGTCATTCTTTGGACATGGACCGAAGTGTAAATCTTCTCTGGGATGTGGCATTGACCATCCACAGTGAATGCAGCTGGAATTTAGCGTCGGATTTAGGTTGCTACACGTATTTCAGCTTAAGGAAAAGAATAATAAAATCATAGAATCATGGAATGGTTTGGGTGGGAAGGGACCTTAAAGATCATCTAGATCCAACCCCCTGCCATGGGCAGGGACACCTTCCACTAGCCCAGGTTGCTCCAAGCCTCATCCAGCCTGGCCTTGGACACTTCCAGGGATGGGGCATCCACAGCTTCTCTGGGCAACCTGTTCCAGTGCCTCCCCACCCTCTGCGGGAAGAATTCCCTCCTGATATCCAATCTAAACCTCCCCACTTTCAATTTAAACCCATTCCCCCTTGTCCTGTCACTACAGGCCCTTGGAAAAAGCCCCCCCCAGCTTCCTTGTAGCCCCTTCAGGCACTGGAAGGTGGTATAAGGTCTCCCTGGAGCCTTCCCTGCTCCAGGCTGAACAAGCCCAAGAGTTCACCTACACACAGTTTTACACTCCTCAGTGAATATCACTGGGGGAACGTGCGAGCCAGTGAAAATTACTGCCAGCAATACACGTTTCACTGCTGTTCTCTCTTTTCCTACGCTACCGCCATGCATGAAGTTCTCTGGTGAAAGCCTTTCCTGGCTCTGCAGGCTGCAGCATACCCCCGCCTTCCCCTAAACCCGCAAGGCTTTGAGCCCCTCCTACAGGAGGTGACAAAAAACCGATCCACCGCTGCTGACTGCAGCTTCACAGTCGGGAGAGCCCTTCGCCCCAGTGCCTGTGCAGGAGGCCTGCGTAGAGCCCCGAACAGAGAACACGTGGGGCTGGAGGGCGAAGCACATTGTACCCGCGGCCGTTTCACCTCGGGTCCAGTCCTAAGCACAATGAAAACATCTGCTCCGTGTTTTGTTCCAGTTGTGGAGGTGCGTTGCCTCTCGCCAGCAGGTAAATCCTACCCAGGGAGGTTGCTGTTAATCTGGTTAGTGCTGGTGCTTGCTGGCAGTTCCTGATGGCGTATCCGTACGCAGAAGGACTTGAGTAACACGTCGGCCGTGCTTCTTGGCTCTTCCTCTGCCTGGGAAGGAGCTTGATCTCTGTGCTCCGTTGGGACACGAGGTCAGGCCCAGCTGGTGGGAGGAGAGGCTGAACCCCCCCAGGAGCAGTCACAGTACGGGGTGACAGGCGGGTGAATTGGGTGCGTGCAGGTGCAAGCCTCTGCCCATCTCCCGTGTCCCGTCTCCCGTAAAAGGGATGTTTTCCTCTTTCCACCATGCTGCCTGTTCCAGAACCGCCCCGGGACTGCCGGGGCACGTGTCTCCAGTACCTCACCGGTCCGTACAGGTGCTGCTGGTGTCATTTCCAAAATCCTTACGCACAACAGCACCGTGTGTGTGTGCGAGGGCTCCTCTTCCTTTGCCACTTACCTGGCTGCTCGGGCGAATTGCCAAGACAGTGTCACTTGGCCGATGCTGTCCTGTTCCTGGTTCAGACCCCGGCTGCAGGGAGTGGGTGGCTGTGGAGCCTCCCCTGGGTATCCCAGTCTGCCTGTTCATCTCCAGGTGTTTTCCCATGCTCTTTATGCAGGATTAGAGACCCAGGTGTTCAGATCTGCGCTGGGGGTGTGTTTCTGTCTCCAGCCGGGCCCTGGCAGTGCTGAGCTGCCCTGAGGGGTTTGCAGGGAGGGCAGGGGCTCAGCTGGCTCTGGGCCTGTATTTAAGCAGCAGCCTGGAGGGCTTGGGTGGCCTCTCCCACCAGCCTGGGTGCAGACAGGCCACGCTGGGCATGGGTAGGGCCTGCTGTAGGCTGGGCTGGCCCCACACCAGGGCTGCAGCCAGACCCCACCATCACAGCGCCCAAAGCCGGGTGCATCTCAGCATCCCGATAAAGGGGCCACCGCACCACCCTCCCTCCCCTGCAGCAGCTGGGATGCAGGGAGAGCAGGGACATGGGGAGAGCTGGCTATGGCCCAGGGGCTCCTCCCCCGGGTAAGGTAAAGGCTTCCCCGGCCTGAGATGGACTTTATTCAGCTCAGCTCCTCCCCTCTAATCCCCCTCGACTGCGCAGGACCATCACTCTCACACTTTGAGCAGCTTCTGATTTAGGGTGTCCCGCCCCAGCCATGCTGCAGCGCCTTCTCCAAAGGCCTGCAAGCCCTGCCCGTCGCGGGAGGGTCACCAGCAGATCCTGCTGCCCCATGGCACGTTCCCAGCTGAGGAAGGGTTTCCCATTGGCATCCCCACAACACTCAAGAGTTTCCCATGCTTTATTCCGGCTGTGGGGGCTGTCCAGACCCGCTGGCAGGGCAGGAGGGGGCCCCTAGCCCACTCCCCAGGAGCAGCCGACACCCTGGGCCGCTTCTTCCCCAAAAAATGGGACAGACACCCCCAGCACGACACTGAACTATTGACCTTTTAATTTCAATCAGCTACAGCAGCTCTACATTCCCCTAAAACACCGTCCTTCCTTCACTACCCCAGACAGCGAGGGGCCGCGTACACTGCGGTGGCAGCAAGTCTCTTAAAGCTTAGTATTAAATATTAAATACTCTCTGTTCTGTTTACATTACTTTGTCAAGGAAAACAACAACAAAAAGACAATTAAAACTTAAGTTACATGAATCCGTGCCCCGGGCAGCAGCACCGGGGGCCGTGGAGCTCCCCCCGCAGCAAGGCGGCTCTGCTGCCAGGGATCTCCAAAACCCTCCGGCCCGGGGCCCGGTAGTGCGTGAGCGCTCGCT